AATCATGTACAAAAAGGAAAGTGTACAAATGTGCCTGGCTTTTTATACGGCCACTGTAGATGAAAGCCCAGGTCCTCGTCTCTGCACGACAAGCAGTCCCTAAGCCCTACACCCAGTCCAGGGTACCATTTCAATTAAGAAGTGATGGCCCATACTTAGAATCAAGGGCAAAGCCAACCTCAGCCTCTCGTTCCTAAGTTCTAAGCTTGGAAGAGTGAACAAAATGGTGGAGGAATAAATTAAACCTAATTTCAGATTTCTCTATTTTGGTTTTTTTTTTAACCCTCATTCATTTTTTTGCAAGAAAAATACATTGTATCATGCTTCCCTCAGAGTTTCTATTTTTGTATCAAAACCCAGAAACTTTGGTATCACTTGTGTATTTTTCGAGAATCAAAACTCAAAACAGTTGCCCAGAGAGGCTAAGCTCTGTTGTATCTGGATTTGGAAAACAGTCTTGTTTCCTCTGAGCTCAGACACTCATAAAAGTCAGTAACCAAGGGAACATCACAAACACACAGTTTCATGAAGACACAAAAGCAACACTGCTAAATTTTTTTCTATGAAAAGTGGTTAACTTTAATAAAATACTAATTGGTTAAAAATAATGATCTACTTGGCTAAAATTATTTCACAGAAAAATCAGCCTAAGAAATTGGTAAATATGATATTGAGAATGACCATCAATGATAGTTTATTGGGCCTAGAGTTTTATATTCTTTGCCAGAAGCATATGCCAGCAGACTAAAGAAGCTCATGATCAATAATTGCCACAGAGCTATTTTCGCTCTGCCTGTGGGCGGGTCTACTGCTGCTTGTCAGTACTTCCTCCTCCACATCCTGGCACTACTTAATTAACACTGAAAGCTTTAGTCAGGCAAACGCTAACAAGCCCTGAATGCAGAAGTGCAGGAGCTAAAACACCAAAGCCTCACTAGCTCACTACCAACCTCACCCATGATTCGTTCTTCAGGGATGTCTTTGTCCATATGGTACCTTTGTGTACATTAGAAAAGTTGAAGTTGGGGAAAAGATGACGAAGGGACACTTGGACAGATACTGTTACGTGGCCCTACACAGTGTTCAACTAGGAAAGGAGGCCCTGCCCTCTATTTATTTTAATGTTTGCGTACGGTATTCTGCCTGCATATATGCCTGTGCATTAGAAGCACGACTGTTGCTGAAGAAAGCTAGAGGAGAGCATCAGAGCCCCTAGAAGTGCGGCTACAGACAGTGTGGGCTGCCATCTGGGTGCTGGGACATCAAAGCTGGATCATCTGGAAGAGAACAGAGTGCTTTATCCACGGAGTCACCTCTCCAGTCCCCTACCCTCCAATTTTATTTATCTGTTCAATTTTTGTTTGTTTTTGTTTTTTGAGCCAGGCTCTTACTATGTAGCCCTGGCTATTCTGGAACTCACTATGTAGACTAGGCTAGTCTTAAAGAGATCCTCCTGCCTCTGCCTCCCGGGTGCTGGTGTTAACGATGTATTCCAAACTGCCCAGCCTCTTGCCCTCCATTTGTACCCATTCCTTTAGCAGTAAGATGAAGCGCCAGAAAGGAAACAGCTGATTTGCTCCTCTTACATGTATCTTGTGTGCACAGGCTTTGGTGTAAGCCTTGTAGTAATCCACCATAACACAACGAACATGACTCCTCCTATTGGGGTAAGGAATCCACCTGGTCCCACGGTTCTCAACTTCGGTACTCACTAAAATCAACCAGCAGAAGGCCACATTTGTAGAGGTGGGAACAGGGCATGGATATTTTAAAACCTGTACGTAGCCAAGATTAGCAGCCAAACACACACAGAGGACTTGGACACAGGAAAGCCACGGGCCATGCATTTAACCTGCAAGCTTTTCTGCTGCACCCCTCAATAATACAAAACAATACAATGCAATAGTAAGTTCTGAAAGGCACTTTGTTCCTAACTTTCTACTTGCTTTTTAGAAGGAAATGTTCAAGTACCTGCGGTTCTGTTTTGGCACAGGACCTCTACAGGAGTCTCAGTAATTCATAGAATGAAGAGGATCCAAAAACAGAAGTCGTTACTCCTGAGGTTCAGATTATGTGTGATACTCTCTTTTTTAGCCCTACCTATATTTTCTAAATGTTCTCTTATGAACACTTGTTACTTTCACTTAAAAAATAAATAAGCTTGGCAGTGGTGGCACACGCGCCTTTAATCTCAGCACTCTGAAGGCAGAGGCAGGGGCGAGGCAGGCGGATCTCAGTGAGGTAAAGGCCAGTCTAGTCTAGGGAGCTGAGAGGAGTGAGTTCCAGGACAGGCCAGTGTTGATTACACAAAGAAAACCTGTCTTGCAAAACTAAGTAAGTAAGTAAATAAGTTAATAAATAGAATTTATAAGATTCTTCAGAAATTAGGACAGCAGAACACTATTTCACTTGGAATAGCTATTACTGAAATGTATAAATGTGCCATAATCCTTGGGGAAACAAAGCGCAAGTCTACAGATGCTTTCTGGCTGAGGGTTGACTGGCATTTGTTCCTAATGCTTCATTTTAAAGTTTCTGTTACGCCAACGTTGTCCATGTCCAGAGTCCTTAACCCACACTGACTAGCAATTCCTACACTGGTATATAAAACTCCCAAGTTCATTCATTCCGCATTCTTTTAACAAATGTGCTTTGAGTCGCTGGTCCTTACAAATGATACTAGAAGGCATTGTCCCCATTCTCCAGCTTATGACCTAGAGAAGTAACACAGCCTGCTTACTTCTGCACAAAAGGTCAGTATTATAGGGACATAGAGCAGGAAGGGCTTCCTCTGTCAGCTCACCTGAACTGGCCACTAGGACAGCAACAGGTGACTGTGGGTTAAGGGATGAAGAACACCGGCAAGGCAGAAAAGACCAAGCCATGTGTAGATTCTCCAAGTTGAATGCTGGCTACAGAGGACGAACTAACCCTGAAAAGAGGCTCTCAGCAAAGCTCACGGAGAGAGGGCGCGTCACACACCTTCTCACGGAAGTTTATGTATCTGCTACCTGTCTTACACTCATCTGCAAGCCAACTCTTTGCATAGCTCACCAACACCTCAGTGAGCCTGGTCATTTGCTTCAGTCAACCCAAATGGAAACGATTTTCAAAACTGTAACGATAGAACTGTTAGCCATAGCTCGGCACCACAGCACGTGGCCTGTAATCCCAGCCCACTGCGGGGACCGGCATGAGGATTATTAATTTGAGGCCAACTGGATAACACAGACAACACCCATCTCAAAAGGCAAAGGAAATGTTAGTTATTTTCATCATTCTGTAACTGGCTCACTGGCAACCTTCTACAAACCCTGTCAATATGGTCTTGCATCCTCCTAAAAGCCCTTCAGCGGTGTCCTGTTCTTCTTAACGGAAAAAGAAGGATAAATCTGTCAAAAGTCTTAGAGATCTTGCAAAAATCCCTACTTACCCCTCTTTTTCAGATAGCGTCTCAAGCGGAAATTCTCCTGCTTCTACCCCGAGTGCTGGGATTAATGGTGTGCACCACCACTTCCAGAGTGTGTGTGTGTGTGTGTTTTTTAAGATAGTAAACAGCGTGGTGGTGGTGGCACGCACCTTTAATCCCAGCACTCGGGAGGCAGACACTGGGAGATCTCTGTAAGTTCGAGGCCAGCCTGGCCTACAAGAGCTAGTTCCAGGACAGGCTCCAAAGCTACAGACAAATCTTGTCTCGAAAAACCAAATATAAATACATAATGAAAAAAAATAAATCTATCTCCCATCACTATCAAAGAGCTTTCCCACACGCTGTTTCTTCTGGAACTTCATACTCTGACTTTGCCCTAATTAGTTTCTGCTCCCCCTAATTGTTTTTACTCTCATTGAACTCGACTTGATTTACATTTATGCATTCTTGCTTTGGCTGTTTTAACCCACTGTTTCTCCCAACAGAAAATAAAATCCACGAGACCCGTGACATTGCCATTCACATGCCTGGGACTATCAGGCATTCAAGTGATACTTGTCGAAAAGCACGGGGTATTTAGCTGTCTCCACAAACTTCGTTGTAGGCATCCCGATGCCTCCTAAGCTCTGCTGCACGACACGTGCTTGTATTGCATATACGTATTAATTAACAGACTACAACTGCAAACACCCTAAAAGGTCCACGAGCGTAACCTTGAAATCTCAACTTCACTTCCCAGAAACCTTGCAAGGGACTGCACGGAGGGTGGCGGGAGAAGGGGCTGGCAGTGAGCCAAGGTACTAGTTCCCCAGTGAGATTTTGGGATGGATCCCAAAGTTTTAAGCCCGAAGTATTTCTCAGTCTGTAATCTCCTTCTTTCTGGTCCTCTGGAGCCAAGCTGGAGCAAAGAGTACTGCAGACCCCAGAACACGCACGCACGCCCCAACAGCCTTCACGCCTGCGCCCACCTCCCGCAGCAGCTTTAGGTCCCCGCGCTGGATCTCGTACACCTGGATAACGCCGGTTCCGCGGGCGAAGTTGCCCATCGTCACGAACTTGGCACTGCAGGGCACCCATTTGCAGTCGAACACCGTGTAGTTTAGGCCTTTTTGAATGTGCACGATGATCTGAGGCTTCTCGAAGGTGGACATGATGCCGAGGAAGACAAACACTAACCTGGAAACCAGACTACAAACATCGCAGGGGCAGTTTGTCCCTCCCTAGCCGCACTCTACCCGGACGCTCAAGCAAGTTGGGCTTGGGTGTCTCTGATAATGCCGGGTGAGCCGCTGCGACGGTACCAGAGGCTTCTCCACACACGGCACAAGCTGACTTACTGCCTTTACCACAGCGTTTTCAAAGACACACGTTAGAGGTTGAGAATGCTTCGGCTCAGAGCGTGTGGGGGGGGGTACGGCGACACTAACAATCAGGCATATCCTCGGGCAGCCAGGCAGACACGAGGACCAATCCTGCTTTAGGCCCCCAGGCGTGGGTTCCGCCTCAGGAAAGGGGCGGTGCCCTCGCGCTGATTGGCTGAGGCTGGCTCACGCGCAGTATAACTTCGCACGTGTGCGGCTGGTTGGACTCACTCGGTTCGAACATGGCCGAGATGGAGACGCAGAGCTCCGGGACGGAGGACGGCTTCACTCCCGTCACGCGCAGAGGGAGCCGGCGGGCGAAGAAGCGACAGGCCGAGCGGCCGTCAGAGGCAGGACAGGACGGAGATGCCAGCAGCATGGACACAGAGGAGGCGCGGCCGGCGAAGATGCCGATCTTCCCGCCCCTCTCGGGCGAGCGGCTCCTGGTGCGGACCGAGGCGCGGCGGGGTGGGGTCGAGCGTCCAGGCGCTCTGGTTTTAAGTCTCGTCCCGCCGGTCTCCGGTCACCTCCTGAATGTGTGCGTGCTTTGTTGCAGGCCGATAAAGAAGAAACGAGAAGGATTCCCGTCCCCGCTAACAGATACACACCATTAAAAGAGAACTGGATGAAGATATTTACTCCGATAGTGGAACATTTGGGGCTTCAGATACGCTTTAACCTGAAATCAAGAAATGTAGAAATCAGGGTAAGGAGAAGGGTAGCCCTTTCGCTGCCTACCGAATTTTCTCCCTCAGAAATGAAGATAAATGAATGCATTTCCCTTAATAGAGCTTTTTCTAGTAAGTGGCTGGTACTTTTGGTGGCTTTGCTCTCTGAAGAAAACTTTTTTTTTTTTCCATTCTCTTCCTACTTGGTTCCAGACAGCTTTCAAGGTCTAGCTCAAGCACTTTCTCGTTAGAAGTTTGTACGTTTCTCTTGTGCCTCGCCAGCTGCCTTGTTTATTGCAGGATCCTTAGTTGGTAGTCTCAGTATGTGTTGATGATACCATGGGTCCCGGGCATAGTGTGTTAGCTCGAGGTAAAGCTTGTCATTTGGTCTTTAAGGTATGATGTAGGTACCTTCCCATTCCCTCTCCCAACCCCACACATGCCAAAGGATGAGACAAGGGAAGGTTAGAGAAATTCAGTGCCTTGGCCAGAGTCTTCAACTTTGGTGCTAGAAGGGACCGTTTAGGGTCTTCTACGACGACATGTTATTTTATAGATGGAAAAACATAAATCTGAACTATTTATGGTACTTGCCAAAAGTCACATATACAGTGGGATCTAGAGTCTGGAACTTTGTTGTTGGTTTCCTTTTTCTGAGACTAGGTTTCACTGTGTAGCCTTGGCTGACCTGGCACTCAGAGAGATCTGGAGGGTACTGGGATTAAAGGCGTGTGTTCCCCTACCCGGCTGGGTTCTGTTTTTAAATGTGCATATCCTGTTAACGCAATCCTGTATGCTTTTAAGTTTGTCAGACGGGGAATCTCTTCAAATGGGTTGTGAATTTGTGTGGGAGACCGGAAGGAGTCTTTTAGAAATTAGACTGTGTTTGGGTTTTTAGTACTTTAATTTTCTCGTGTGTGATAAGTGTTTACATTACAAAGCACTCAAGGTTGTCAAGGGGAAGCTTAGAGCTAGATGTGTAAGGCATATTATTTACAGTGGTGGGCGTTCTCTGAATAACAGCTATTTCTGTAGTTCAAGTAATTACTTGCAGACAGAATTCCTACTTAAACTATTGTTGGTTTCCTCAGTGCTAGGCATGCAGGTAATCAGAACTGGAGTTGTTGATTTGGGAAACAGCAGCATATAAATGGTCCTTTAAGACAGAAGGTCAGGTCAGGACTCCTTGGGGGTTACTGCCGTGATGGAGAACCTGTCTGGACATTTACTAGAGGACAGAATGGGTGTGAGCCCCTGGTTTGCTAGAGACCAACCTCCATTAGTCATAGAGTATGTTTAATCATTTGAATGGGTTTGTGTAGAATTTCCCAGCGTTGGAGCCAGAAGGTTCCCTTGTACAAATTAAAGGAAATACTTATTTCACCTTAAAGGGGTCTTAACAATATTGGGGAGGGCGGTTGATGGTGAAGGAATTTATAATAAAATATCGATTCTAGTATTTTATTTCTAGAAATGCTTTCTTTCTCATCCCCTCCATATGTGCACCTCTTTTTTCAGACTTGTAAAGACACCAAGGATGTCAGTGCCCTGACCAAAGCGGCCGACTTCGTGAAGGCCTTTGTTCTCGGATTTCAGGTGGAGGTGAGTGGTCTCGCGAGACTTGGAAGTGCACAGTGTGGACATTTCAGTGGATGGATCATTTTCCAAAACTTTGAGTTTTGTCATTGTGGTGTCTGGATTTTCGTTGTAAAAATGAAAAGGCCTTGATGGTGCCTACTTTTGTTTGTAGGATGCACTCGCACTTATCAGGCTGGACGACCTCTTCCTGGAGTCTTTTGAGATAACCGATGGTAAGGGAAGCAAGCGGGTGGTTCTTCTGTGTCAACCGTCAGCCTTTGTGTTTCCGACTGCATTGTGACGTGTCTGGTTTTCTAATAACTTCAATTGAGCTGCATTACTAACACTTTTCAGAAAATGTATATTTGTGTTGTTTAGTAGAAAAACTCAATAGCTAGCCACCTGATGTCTTGTTTTTCTTGTTTAGTTAAGCCCTTAAAAGGAGACCACCTGTCAAGGGCAATAGGAAGAATTGCTGGCAAAGGAGGAAAAACCAAATTTACCATAGAGAATGTGACACGGACGCGGATTGTTTTGGCAGATGTGTAAGTATCTTGTCTTGAGAAAATTTTCGTGATTTATTTGTAGTTGATCTTACTAGTTTCAAAAAGGTCATAGCTCTTATTTGTTGTAAATTTTTTCCTTTTTTTTTTCCTTTTGGTATTGGGGACTGCCTCTGGGACATTGTGCATTCTGCTCATGTACCATACCACTGCTTTATAATAGTTGCCTTTAACCCACACTGGGTTTTTCTAGTTGTGTGGTTCTAGTTGAATATTCACCAACTTGAAAGGATCATGAGTTAATCAAGGAAATTTCAGTAATTGTCATCCTCAGAATAAAAGAAATAACTTAGGCTTACTGTGATTTATTAAAATGATTTATTAAAAGGGAAGCTTTACATTTTATCTTGGACAAATCTATTAAATCCTTAAGGGAAGTACAAATAGAGGTGTTTGAAATCCCATTGTGAGGTTTTCCTTTAAAAAGTCAGATAGTTGCATGTGCCTGTATATAAGATGATAGTGGCTCTCGACGAGGGTGGGGTTCTGATGCGGAGCTGGGAGTACCTCTGAGGTCAGAGCTTCTCTGTTCCCATGTTGGTGTTAAATAGGCAGATAGATGTCTCAGAACTGACAGAATATGAAGTTGGCAGATAGCAATTGACAGACAGGGTGAGGATTTCATTTAATATTGTTTTGCTCTAAACATTATTTGGACCACATTAATGTAGGCATTCTTTATATTTAAGGGCAACTGTTATATTGGTGGTCCTCTCCTTGAAGCCAAATATAATTCTGCTCTTTTATGGATTGAGTCTTATGAGTCTGAAACCCAAGCTTTTTTTCTACTGGAAATTTCAAAGGCACGGAAACAACGATGTTTAAAATTTACTGTAAAGTTGTTTGAGAAAGGGTATTTTTGGCACAGTTTACATGAGTAAACGAATTCACCTGACAGCCTTGTCAGTCCAGCGGGTTGCTTAGCATAGCAGTCCTGCAGCCCTGCCACACCCATACTGCCCACTTCAGGGTGCCCATGCATCATTTTAACCCATCCTTTACCCCACCCTAGTCCCACTGTGTATTCATTTAGCACATTGCTTTGAACGCTTCATTTTGTTGGGACAGCAGTAGTTCACTTTTTTTTAAATAACCAAGTAGCATTCTAATTACAGTTGATGGCATTTGGAATGTTTCATTTTGGAATCATTAAATACTAAATTCTGATGTAAGGGTACTTTTTTATCATTGGATTAATTTTGAATTAGATTTAAGATGTAACAATAGTTGTTTTTTGTTGTTGTTATATTTAGAATTTTGTTTGTTTGTTTGTTTTTTGAGACAGGGTTTCTCTGTGTAACAACCCTAGTTGTTCTGGAACTAGCTCTGTAGACCAGGCTGGCTTTTAACTCATAGAGATTCACCTGCCTCTGCCTCCCAAGTGTTGGGATTAAAGGCGTGCACCACCACCTGGCCTCATTTAGAAATTTTTTGATTGTAATATAATTAATTATATTTCTGCTTTCTCGCCAAACCCTATCATATACCCTTCTTTACTTTTTCAAACTCATAGCCTTTTTAAAAAGTTAATTGTTATGCCAGGCAGTGGTGGCACATGCCTTTAATCCTAGCACGCGGGAGGCAGAGTCAAGCAGATCTCTGAGTCAGGCTCCAAAGCTACAGAGAAACTCTGTCTCGAAAAATTAAAAGAACGAAAAAATTTGTTTTTGTTTGCATGTATGCTTATATTTATTCCTAAATATAAATTGCTCAGTCAGCTTGATGTTACTTGTATGTGTGTATTCAGAGCTGACCAATGGTGTGATCTTTCCTGGGGAAGAATGTTTCTCCCACTCTAGCATACCTGTTATTTGTAGTTCTTCCTGTAGGTCTGAGGCCTCTTGGGCTTTCCCCATCTTCTTTGGTATGTCCATTGTTGTCCTTGCTCAGTCATGATCCTACAGTCATGTTGGTGAGATTTTATGAGTGTCGTTTCTGGTGTTAGTAAACTGAGACAGCCTCACCTCAAAGCCCTGGTCCTCTGGCCCTTGTAGTGTTTCTACCTTCTTTTCCAAAATGTTCCCTCAGCCTTAGGTGTGGGAGTTTTGTAGGTGTATCTGTTGGGACTGGGCTCCACAACCCTACATATCGATTGGTTATGGTTTTCTGTAGTGGTCTCTGTTCATTACAAAGTGAAGTTTCCTTTATGAGGAATGATGACTACTTACCAGGCTAGACATCTGGTAATTTTATAAAGTTGCTAGTAACTTGGCAATACACAAAGTAAACATGAGCAGGATACAAAATTAAGGACAATTTGCTTTCTAGATATTTATAATACCAAAGGGGAGATAAAGTTGCCTATGTTTAATGACAACTTCATGCATCTAAATATGCACACAGTAAGTTGGGCTTTATGAGCACCTGCCTCATCCGTGCTGGAGTGTTGGCTGGCTTGACCATGTGTAGGGTCTATTGCAGGCAACCACAGCTTTTCTGAATTCATGAGTACAGCTGCCCTGCCTGCCATGTCCAGAAAGCCCTGCTTTGCAGCAGTCCTTGCCTGCTTCTACCTCCTCCATTCTTTCCATCCCCTTTTCCTCGATGCTCTGTAAGGGGAGGGCGAGAGATGCAGGTGTATCATTTAGGGCCGAGCATTCTGCATTTGCTCATCTCTGCGCTCTGGCCGACTTTGAGTTTCTGCATCCATCACTGTGCACTGCAGAAAGCCACTTCTCTGTGGGCTGAGAGCTGCAGTGGTCTGTGGGTGTCCAGGTTTGCTGCTGTTTAGGAAAATCAACTATGGATTGGGTTCTCCCTGGGTCTCATGTCCCCTCAGCAGGTTCTTGGCCAACTTTACAGAACTAGTTTGAGTTCCGTTTGTGGAGTGGGCCTTAAAAAACCAGTCTGAAAGCTGGTGCTTATTGCATAAAATCGATGGACCATTGTATTAGTGAGCCCATCTTAACAGGATGGTCATTATCGTAAGCTAGTGGGCTTCTTGTCTGAGTAAAACCTGTGACTTTCCTCCTTTGGCAGCCTGTCAGTATCCCACATCTACTAGCATTAGACTTTTTATGTG